CGGTCGACTACGTGGGAGTCCAGCGACATAGCCGTTACGCTAACTGCTGGTTCCCAATCAAGTTAAATAATTCTTAAAAAAAAAAAAAAGTCTGTGGAGGCTCGTTGGCTCTTTGTGACTGCCATTTCTGTGAGTTCCCAGCCTGAAGTCTGGTGATGGGCTTGGGGTTGCTGTGATCCCAGGGCTGGTTGTAGAGGAGAAGAACTGGATGTGGAGCAGGAAAGAGCAACAACTCACTGAAACTTGCCAGCTACTCTGCGTGTCTCTCACCGCCTCTAACAAACTACTAGGTTGTGGGGAAAATCATGATGTGTTTTTCTATGCAAATATGTGTCATGACTTTCTTAACAACCAGAGCATAGTGGTTGTGCTTTACGTCTGCCACCTGTTTTTCTTTTTTTCTGCCTCTGCTTTACTTTTGATTAACACAGAACTATTCAGGGAAGGGGAATCTGGGAAACATCCCAGTGTAACCAAGTTGACCAGCGAATAATTCATCCTATAGGAGATAGCTTGCAAATGTACCAGCATTCTTTTGGACCATCTCATATTGGGACAAGCGCCTTTGTGTCTTCACCAGATCAGTTTATTTATTTTTTAGAATTATTTAGCTTTACTTATTTATTTAATTTTTGAGTTTTTTTTTTTTTTTAACTATAGGGCGTGTGTGCTTGCCAGAAAGACAGAGACAGACAGAAAGTGAGAAATCACCCCCTGGGGGGATGGCCATGCCACAATCCCTTCTCCTTAAGCCACTGGGCCCGGGACTCGAACTGTGGTCGACTACATGGCAGTTCAGTGACATAGCCATTACACCAACTGCTGGTCCCACTTTATTTATTTATTTTAATTTGACTTCTGAGGGACAGAGAGAGAGGGAAAGTGAGAAAGCAAGTCACCAGGTCTGGGACTTCAACTGTGGTTGGCCACGTGGGAGTCCAGTGTCCCTAGCCACCATGCCACCTGCCGGCCCCACTAGATTATTTTTGGGGGTCTTTATTTTTAGTGTTTTGTGTGTTTTTGTTTTGTTATAGGGTGTGTGCACTTGCCAGAGAGAGACAGTGAGAGAGAGAGAATGTGAGATATCACCTCTTGGGGGGATGGCCATACTGTAGTCCCTTCGCCATTCTTTTTGGAGAGGTTTTTGCTATAGGGCGCGTGCGCTCGCCAGACAGACAGAGAGAGACATAGAGATAGAAAGCGAGAAATCACCCCCCAGGGGGGATGGTCACACTGCAATCCCTTCTCCTCCATTCTCCTCTCGGGATCTTGGGCACGGACGCACACGCACCCGGCGTGAGTTTTAAGCCATCGGGTCCGAGATGCGAACCACGGTCGACTACGTGGGAGTCCAGCGACATAGCCGTTACGCTAACTGCTGGTTCCCAATCAAGTTAAATAATTCTTAAAAAAAAAAAAAAGTCTGTGGAGGCTCGTTGGCTCTTTGTGACTGCCATTTCTGTGAGTTCCCAGCCTGAAGTCTGGTGATGGGCTTGGGGTTGCTGTGATCCCAGGGCTGGTTGTAGAGGAGAAGAACTGGATGTGGAGCAGGAAAGAGCAACAACTCACTGAAACTTGCCAGCTACTCTGCGTTCTTCTCCCCGCCTCTAACAAACTACTAGGTTGTGGGGAAAATCATGATGTGTTTTTCTATGCAAATATGTGTCATGACTTTCTTAACAACCAGAGCATAGTGGTTGTGCTTTACGTCTGCCACCTGTTTTTCTTTTTTTCTGCCTCTGCTTTACTTTTGATTAACACAGAACTATTCAGGGAAGGGGAATCTGGGAAACATCCCAGTGTAACCAAGTTGACCAGCGAATAATTCATCCTATAGGAGATAGCTTGCAAATGTACCAGCATTCTTTTGGACCATCTCATATTGGGACAAGCGCCTTTGTGTCTTCACCAGATCAGTTTATTTATTTTTTAGAATTATTTAGCTTTACTTATTTATTTAATTTTTGAGTTTTTTTTTTTTTTTAACTATAGGGCGTGTGTGCTTGCCAGAAAGACAGAGACAGACAGAAAGTGAGAAATCACCCCCTGGGGGGATGGCCATGCCACAATCCCTTCTCCTTAAGCCACTGGGCCCGGGACTCGAACTGTGGTCGACTACATGGCAGTTCAGTGACATAGCCATTACACCAACTGCTGGTCCCACTTTATTTATTTATTTTAATTTGACTTCTGAGGGACAGAGAGAGAGGGAAAGTGAGAAAGCAAGTCACCAGGTCTGGGACTTCAACTGTGGTTGGCCACGTGGGAGTCCAGTGTCCCTAGCCACCATGCCACCTGCCGGCCCCACTAGATTATTTTTGGGGGTCTTTATTTTTAGTGTTTTGTGTGTTTTTGTTTTGTTATAGGGTGTGTGCACTTGCCAGAGAGAGACAGTGAGAGAGAGAGAATGTGAGATATCACCTCTTGGGGGGATGGCCATACTGTAGTCCCTTCGCCATTCTCCTCTTTGGATTTTGGACATGCATACACGTGGTCTGGTATGATTTTCAAGCCACTGGGTTTGGGACTTGAACTATGCAGCTGGCCCTTTGGGATCCAGTGCCCTAATCTCTGTGCTACCTGCTGACCCAATTATAGTGTTTTTATTTATTTTAGATTTGCTATAGGGCATGTGTGATCACCAGAGAGAGACAGAGAGGGGGAAAATGAGAAATCACCTCTCTGGGGAGTGGCCATACCATAGTCTGTTCTCCATTCTCTCGGGATTTTTGGACATGCATGCACATGTGCTTGGCGTGATTTGCCTCTGAGTCTGGGACTCGAGCTGCAGTTGGCCATGTGGAGGTCTAGTGACTTAACCACCATGCCACTTGCTGGCCCCATCAATTATAGTGTTTTTATATGGTTTTTCTATTTGTAATATTGGCATATAAGACCATATTATATCCACTCTTCTGGGAGTATATGCTTTATCATTGATTTGATCTTCATTTCTCCTCTTTTTTTACACAGAGGTTATAAAAGCACACATTAATTTCTTTACAGGAACTACTTTGTGTCTGGCATAACAGAAAGAACACACAAGATTGAAAATGTGAAATTGAAGATTCTTTCTCATGAATAAGAATATAGAGAATAATAGACTAAGTCTTTTTTTTTTTTTTTTGGAGAGGTTTTCGCTATAGGGCGTGTGTGCTCGCCAGACAGACAGAGAGAGACAGAGAGATAGAAAGTGAGAAATCACCCCCCAGGGGAGATGGCCACGCCGCAGTCCCTTCTCCTCCATTCTCCTCTCGGGATCTTGGGCACGCACGCACACGCGCCTGGCATGAGTTTAAGCCACCGGGTCCGGGACTCGAACCGCGGTTGACTACGTGGGAGTCCAGCGACATAGCCATTACGCTGACTGCTGGTCCTAGAGAATAATAGACTAAGTCTTGATGTCAGAATTAATGGCTTAAACATTTTACTATGGCTGTGATTTCTGTGGGTCAGGAATTTGGTAAGGGCACACAAGTTCCATGTCTAGGGACTCAGTTCGGGAGTCTCAGCAGTTGAGGATGACTTGATGAGGGGTGGGATCATATAGAAGTATTGTCTTTGCATGTCTGTTGGTTGATGATGGCTGTTGGTTGGGTCCTTAACAGGAAAGTAGAGTGAATCTGCATGTGACCTCTCTGTGTGTCTTGGACTTTGTCACAGTGGTGACCCAAATCAGTTAAACTTCTTACATGGTGGCTCAGGGTTCCATGTGAGTGTGATGGGAAGCTATATCATTTTTTTCCCTAAGCTAGTATTGGAAGTCAAATAGTGTCACTTTTGCTACATTCTTTTGGTTACACTTTAATCACAAGTCCACCTAGATTCAAGGGGAGGGCATATAGACCCCACTTCTTGATAAAAGGAATATCAAGGTTGGATTATAACCTAACAGCATGACAGAGATATTATGACCATCTTTGGAAAGTAATGTCTCTCACAGGCCCTGAGTTGGGGATTCAGAGACTTGTAGGTGTGGGGCCAGATGGTGATGCAGTGGTAAAATGCGGTTCTGTGCATCACGTGGGAATATTTTCTATTGAAGTCTGGAGAGGTCCTTGACAACATTGTGGGCACTGACTTGTCCATGATCTGGGGCTTAGCTGAGAGGGAGAGGTGGATTGTGGTGTTCAGACACACTTGGGAAGTACTTTGTCTCTTTCGTGTGCTTATGGATCAAATTTTTTTTTTAAACTTGTAGGTGCAAAGATAATATTGAGCACAGGGTTATAGTGGAGGGGCTAAAGAAAGCATAGTCAATTCTGTTTAGAGAGATAGGCATGATTTCTGAAAGGAACTTGACCTGATGATTTGTTTTCTTTTGAAGTAGATAGGCTACATGGAAGTGTTTTAACTTCCCAGTAGAACAGATGGAGACTCATGGTGCTAATGAAGACTAGATAAAGAATAGTGATGAAGCCAGACTAAAACCCAAGTGTCCTGATATTTGACCTAAATTCAGTTGGGAAATTGGAATTCTTAGTACTTTGTGATTGTAAAGAGGTTTGGCACAGTAGTGGGAGCAGCTTTTGGGCAGTGCATTTCATTTCATTTGTGAGGCCACAGAGCATACCTTTACATATCATCTTTACTTCAAAACTTCTTTTTTTGGGGACCAGCAGTTAGTGTAATGGCTATGTCACTGGACTCCCATATAGTCGACCGTGGTTCACGTCCCGGACCTGGTAGCTAAAACTCACGCCGGGCGCATGTGCGTGCATGCCCAAGATCCCGAGAGGAGAATGGAGGAGAAGGGATTGCGGCTTGGCCATCCCCCCTGGGGGGGGGGGGATATCTCTTTCCATCTCTCTGTCTCTGTCTGTCTGGCGAGCGCACACGCCCTATAGCGAAAACCTACCCCCCTCCCCCCCAAAAAACCAACAAAAACAACTTTAAAAAATTTTTTTTAAATAGAGGTTTTTGCTATAGGGTGCGTGCACTTGCCAGACAGACAGAAAGTGAGAAGTCACCCCTCAGGGGGTTGGCCATGCGGCAGTCCCCTCTCCTCCATTCTCCTCTCAAGATCTTGAGCGGGCACGCACGCACACGTGCCAGGCATGAGTTTAAGCCACCAGGTCTGGGACTCAAACTGCGGTTGACTGCATGGGAGCAACATAGCCATTACACTAACTGCTGGTCCTCAGTTGAAAACTTCTGATGTGCGTGTTAGGTCAACAAAAGGAATAGAAGTATCAAAATCTGCCATGGTACAGTATTCATTTTCTGTCTTGGTTTTCATTGAGAAATGTGTAAGAATTCTGCTTGCTTAAAAATTTGTGTAGTAGGACCAAAAGGGAGGATTCTACTAGTCTGTCTAAAGTGTTAAACACATTTTTTTGCCCTCTCGTTAATCAGGAAGCTCAGAACCTTATGGCCTTGACCAATGTGGATACGCCACTCAAAGGTGGACTTAATACTCCATTGCACGAGAGTGATTTCTCAGGTGTGACTCCACAGCGGCAGGTTGTACAGACTCCAAATACAGTTCTCTCTACCCCATTCAGGTATTGTAAATAAGCGTATTTTATATTTTAGAAAAACTGGAATTCAAGGATTTGGGAAGCATATTTGGTTTTGTAATGTTGTTAAGAGAATGGAAATAAGTGTTCAGCTTGCCGTGCTTTGATTTTTACTTATAGCACAGTTTGAGTATCCTTATCCAAAATATTTGGGCCAGATGTGTTTCAGATTTTGAATGTTTTTGGATTTTGGAATATTTAGATACACACAGTGAAATAGATACCTTGGGGATGAGTCCCAAGTCTAAACATTCAAGTTTATATATACTTTATACATAGCCTGAAAGGAATTTTATACAATATTTTTGTATGGTAGTAAGTTATCAGGTCAGTTATGGAATTTTCTACTTGACATTTATGTCAGCATTTAGAAAAATTCCAATTTTGGAGCATTTCAGATTTTCGGTTTTTGGATTAGAGATGCTCAATCTGTGATAGATAACATAGTCATAGAATTCAGGCTATGATTAAATACTGTGGAGAGTTTTTATTTTTTCAAAGGTTTAGATGCTATCACCTTGTTTCTGAATACATCATTATTTGATTTTAAAGATACCAGACAATCGTTAATGATCATGTGAATTTTATAAAAATTATAATCTTTTTTTATACAAGTATTACTATTGCTTTTCCCTCAACATTTTTTAATGGAAATTTTAAGCATTCAGGGAGGTGGAAGGACTGGTAAACTGAACATCTGCATACCTACCACCTAGTTTCTACAATTGATGTTTTACTGTATTTGCCTTATCACACAGCCCCCCACCTATCCATCTTGTTTTTTAATGCATTTCAAAGTTGCAGATACCAGTCCATTTCATTCCTAAATACTTACTCCTACAAGTCTTTAACTAGAGCTTAGTATTATAATTCTTTCATTTTAAGTTTATTTTAAGCTTTTTTTGTTGCCAGAAGGCTCATACACTCCCCAGAGAGAGGACGAAAGTACCCTGCCCCCCCCCCCCCCACACACACACACACACACACACACAGTGGGGCATGGTCACACTGCAGTTCTTAAGATTTGGGGCATGTATACGTACATACCCAGAGTGTTTTTGAGGACCAGGACTTGAACTGTGGTCATCCATGTGGGATCTGACTCCCTTAACTACTTGGCTGTGAGCCAGGTCTGAGGTATTATTTTTAAAGAGTTATCTGAGATACAAATGCTATAGAAGCAAATTGTGTTAAAATGGATATCTATGCATTTTGAGAGTTAGAGATACTTGGGGTTTAGGGTATGTCCTTCTGATTGTTTAGTATAGTAAACATTGCAGGCTGTTACCCATACATGACGGCATAATCAAGAAGCCTTGGCAGCCACTCCAACTATAACATTTTACACTTTTTGCAAGGCTGTAACAAAGCCTAATCCCTCTTTTCCTGTGTATGTCTTGTCTCTCAACTAGATTGTAAGCTCCTTGCGGGCAGGGACCATGTCTTATACGGTAACACCTCACCTATGGGGAACAGCTGTTTGGCAGCACCACCAGTCTGGAATACAGCCAAGGTACAGGAAGTAAGCAAACCCCCTCCCCTAATGCCATCATCAAAGATGAAAGGCTTTGGATAATTAAAATATAATTTGCTGCAAAGTCTGTGAATTTTTTTTTAAGAATTATTTATTTTTATTTGTTATTGTTACTGTTTTTAATTTGACCAGATTGAGAGAGAGAGGGGAAGTGAGGAAGCAAGCCGCCAGGTCCAGGACTCGGACTGTGGTCTACCAGCACCTTAACCACTGAGCCACCTGCTGACCCCAGTCTGTGAACTTTATTGTAGGATATCTCTTAGCCTTTACTTAAAACCTATTTATATTTAAATGTGATTTTAAAATTGTGGTTGATATCAAAATATAAAAGGAAGAACAACTTACAGGTATGCCCATCAAGATGATAATCAGGCAGCAACCTGATAGAAAGGGAGGAGACTAATGATAAAATGAAGATCAAACTCCACAAAAGTCACCTGGGGCCATTGAGTGGTGTCGGACCTTCCTGTCTTCTGTGTGTTCTTAGCCACCCTAACATCAAGAAAAGTTTGAAATCATGTTTGGTGAGCCTAGTGTAGGAAGGCAAGAAAATATCATATGTGATGATACTATTAGAAGGCAATAAAATAAAACTGCTATGTGTAAATACTATGCTTGCTGGACCAAACCTTTACTGTTATTTATCAGATTTTATTTTTTTTTTGCCATAGGATGTGTGTATTCACTGGAAAGAGAGAGAGGGGGAGAAAGAGGGAGAGAAAGTGAGAAATCATCTCCCAGGGAGATAGCCACCCTGCAATCCCTTCTTCCCCATTCTTTTCTTGGGATTTTGCATGTGCATGGACACACAATCTAGTGTGTTTCTTGCCAAGTCTGGGACTCAAACTGTAGTCAGTCATGTGTCACTGTAACCACCATGCTGCAGGTTGGCCCATCTAACCTTTATTTTAAGTTTTTATTTTGTTTCTTAGATTTTTGCCATAGGATATGTGTGCTTACTAGGGAGAGACAGAAAAAGGGAAAGTGAGAAATCACCCTCAAGGGGAATGGCCACACTTCAGTCTGTTCCTTATTCTCTCAGGATTTGAGACATGCGTGCACATGGACCCAGCATGATTTTCAAGCCACTGGATCCGAGACTCCAACTGTGGTTGACCATGTGGGAAGTTCAGTGCCTTAACTCCACACCACCTACTGACCCTCCCAGACCTTTATTTTAACCTAAGAGATATAATTTAGATAGATGGATTTCTGGAATCTTTCTGTTTTTCAATATGCTAGAGGGTATGCATGCTCACTCTGGGGGTGGGAGGGAGGTAAAAAGAGAGAAAATGAGAACACATCCCCCATGGGGGGTTGACATGCCTAATCCCTTCTCCATTTCTTCCTCTTTCTGAGATTCTGGATACACATGCACACATGTTTTTCAAGCCATCAGCTATGAGACTTGAACCACATGGTTGGCCATGTGAGATCCAGCCTCCTTAAGCACCATGCCCATAGCTAGCCCTGTTTCTAAAATTTTCTGCATTCCCTATAAAATAATTTTATATAAAAAAATTTGAACGCATGAGCCATATGAAGCGGCATTTTTATTCATTGAGATTTCTGGTTTTCTAGGACTCCTTCTAATGGAGCTGAAGGGCTGACTCCCCGGAGTGGAACAACTCCCAAGCCAGCTGTCAACTCTACCCCAGGTAGAACTCCTCTTCGAGATAAGTTAAACATTAATCCCGAGGATGGAATGGCAGACTACAGTGATCCTTCTTATGTGAAGCAGATGGTAAGTGTCAAGTCCTTTTTAATATTCTCTAAAATTTTTTCTAATATATCATGGGTACCAAATTACAAGCTTTCCTAGCAGTGCATATTTATGTATACTTTATACATGCATGGATGTCAGAAAAGGAATATGATTTGTAAGAATTAATGATGGGGGAACTTTTGGGGTCCTTAACTTACCTTTTCTTTACTCTTGTTTGTGATTATTGTTGCTGAAAGTCATGCTCGGTGTGTGTCTTATGATTCTAATGTTTATCATTTACTAATGCATACTTTTTCCCAGTGCTTTTGTTTATTTATTTTTAATTGCCAGAGGACATGTGCACTCACCAGGAGTGAGAGAGAAGGGGGGGGGGAGAGAAATATTGCCCCACTGGGGTTTAGTTATGTCTCAATATTTTCTCTTCCATTTCTTACCTATTAGGACTATGAGCACATACACACGTATTCAATGTGCTCCTCAAGCTGTTGGGTCTGGGACTTAGACCATGTGTTTGGCCATGTGGAATCTGGCTTTTTCAACCACTAGGCTTCAGGGCTGGCCAGTACTTTCCTTTCTTGAATGATAAATTTATTGTAATTTTTTCTTTCTATTTAAATAAAGATTTATTTTTTTCTTTTTTAAATTTTTGCTTTAGGGTACGTGTACTTGCTGAAGAGATAGAAAGAAAGAAAGTGAGAAAACAGTTCCCCCAGGGGGATGACCATGCCTCAGTTCCTTCTTTTTCATTCTCTTGGAATTTTGGGCACATATGCACATGTGGCCACAGTGTTCTTCAAGCCTTTGGGTTTGGGACTCAAACTGCATGGTTGGTCATTGGATTTAGCCCCTTTAACCACTACATGACCAGCTGGCCCCAGTAGACTTTTCTTTCATTTACATGTAATTTATTTTAGTATTTCCTCTAAAAAATAAGCACACGCTCATAAAATACGGACATCTTTCAGATTAAGTTATATTAGTCCAAAGATGAACTAATTTTTGAACTTGTTCTATTTATTTGCTGTTAAATTTCTGTGTCTTAATATATTTCTCCAAATGAAAATCTTAATGGTCTTTTTTTGCCTGTAGTAGTAATTTCCAATTCTATTGGAATATCCCAGAGTAACTTTGTTGATGGAAAGTCAAAGTTTTTGACTGGTCTTAATGTAGGGGAGAAGGTGAAATAGAAAATTAACAAAAAACTTGTCTCGGCTCTCAAGTCAGGGATCATATTACTAGAATTAATATTATGCTGGGAACCAGCAGTTAGCGTAATGGCTATGTCGCTGGACTCCCACGTAGTCGACTGCTGTTCGCGTCCCGGACCCGGTGGCTTAAAACTCAGGCTGGGTGCGTGTGCGTGCGTGCCCAAGATCCCAAGAGGAGAATGGAGGAGAAGGAATTGCGGCATGGCCATCCCCCCTGGGGGGTGATTTCTCACTTTCTGTCTCTCTGTCTATCTCTGTCTGTCTGGCGAGCGCACGCGCCCTATAGCAAAAACCTCTCCAAAAAA